CATCATACTTCTCGCTAATAGTTCATACATGAATAACTATTATATATTAATATAGATACTCTATGGCAAAGATTGTAAATATCTATGAGATCTCAATAATCATATCATTTTCTTTTCGTTCTTCCAAAACGGATATTTTACTTGAGGTCATTGATATAGAAAACTGCAGAGAAGTTGTTATTTCAATTGCTTCTTTAATTAACATGTGTCAGAACAAAATCTTTCTGTTACTAACATATGTTTCTCTCTGCATGTGTTGAAGACAGGGACGTATAAAGTTCAACATTAGCTCGTTACCGCTGAATCAATTACCGAAACTGTACAAAGGTGCCAATGTTAGATGATAATGGCAATAAAGAGATTTTGTTTTTCTTCGGTTGAAATGACTTTTTATTCATATGAATTTATCAATAAATATAAAATAAAAATCAATGTCTACTAGGCGCTTATTAAAAATTTGCTTGAATTTCAAATGAGAATCGATAATAAAAATGAATAAATGACATAGTATTTTTTCTGATATTTCCAAAAGGATGAATTCATATATTTCAGTTAATGCGATATATTTTAACCATTTGTTGAAAAACAAAAGACATGTAAATCTCTAGAACTGTTTAAAAGTCATTTAGATTTTGTTCTCCAACAGACTTCATTTGATGGAATCTATGACCATATAGAATTCTAGGGAACTGCTTGATAGAACGAAAAAATGTTTAAAATGATATAAATGTTATTCGAGTGCTTAGACATTCGTGTTTATTTTTTCTAGGAAATTCAAGTTATTTAAAAGTAGTATAACTATACTTTTCACTCACACTAATCATTTTTCATATTCATCGGCCGAACATTAGTATTATTTATCAATGGTTTCTAATGGTTATATGCATTATAGTTTTATTTTTTTAATCACAAGTTTAAGTAATATAGAAAAAAAAAGAATGAAATAGGAATAGCGTCTGTCTACTTGATATAAATGTTTATCATACCAATTCTATACCGGATATATTTGGAGATTCATCTAACGGATGAACTTGAGTGCGATTTAAACTATACCATCGTTTTAATGATTGCCAACATTTTTTCACTAAAAAATATTTCACTTGCCGACGAAATCGTGATGATGAAGCCAAAAATATATAAAAATTTAACTAGAACCAAAAAAAAAATTATTCTAAAATTTGAAACAAGACGTAAAATAACAATCTTACTGCATAGATCCAAATAAGTAGTGAGCTAACAATTGCTGAAACAAGTTGATTAATGGCATATGGAAGAATATCGACTGGAGATACATTAACATTCAATGTATATATTCGAAATATCGTATATGGTAACACGAGAATGACAAAGGTAATAACCCGTACAAAAATCATTGCTGTCATTTGTCGATCCAATCTTCGACGTTCAATAGGAATTTGACGTCGAACCAGCTGACGAACATTTTGATACGCTAAAAGACTGAATGAAGATGAAATTAAAATTGGAAACAATCCACTTAAAAAGATATAGTAGAAATATGAATAGTATTGTGTTAAAGCTTGATTGGTTATAATACAAATAGACGAAGAATTAATATCGCTAAAGATAATATGGGGTATAGTCTGTAGAACGCATATGATAGTTGCTGAAAAAATTAGACATTGGGCAAGTTTGTGTGTACTCAGTTGTCGAAAATAAAATCGATGATTGGTTGAAAGATATTGATCTAATGCTTCAAAACATACTATAGAACTAATAAGAAGTCGACTTGACTGACCTAATGTAGTTCTGATTTTACAATATATAATTGATACATTTGCTAGTTCATTTCCATATATTGATCGAAATATTTGAGGGACAAAATATATAAATTGTATAACGATGCTGATCATGGATTCCACAATTAAATAAAAAGCACATCGATTACCTCGAAAGAGTTTTAAGTTAGTAAATATAAGACTATTTAGAATATTGCCAATAAGTCCAACGATGAAAGTAGTGTAGTTAACATATAAGGTATAATTTTGCGTGACAACAAGAAGCTGACGAGCAGCTGACGAGGAGGACATTGTTTTTAAATTCTCGAATCACAATACTTTATGTAGACATGATATGAAGATAGAGAAAAAAAAAGAAGCATAGGTCATGAATGACAGGATTAGATGAAATGTATAAGAATGAGCGATGTTGATCAAGTAAGGAAAGTTGCATAGAAGTGAAGCTAAAAGGCAAAATTATCCAAGTAAACAACTTCTCTTTTACTTAAACTAGTGAGATAAATTCAATATAAACATGATTTTATTTGACTTCTTTGCAGCATTACAAGAATGAACTAATGAAAGAAATGTGTTGTTCGCTGCTAATCTGACGTTAATAAAGGCTTAATCTCTGTCTTTCAAATATATTTATATTTTTTAATGAAGTTGTACGTAGATCGTATTTGTATGTTGTTATGGTTAGAATAAAATACGAGATGAACATTTCTATAAATACAACGAATTTATTGATATTTATTTTTTTTTAGAAGAAATCAATGGTCAATAGAAAGAAATTTTGTGACAGTGACTCTTGAAATAAATCAAATTTTTTATGACAGATGCATCCGTTGATTGACAATACTAAAGCTACTTATTAATAGAAAACGTAAGTTTATTCCACCTATGGTAAAAAAGAATAATAATAAATAATTGCTCTCTAATACGGTTCTAATATTTGAATTGAAAGCAAATAAAAAAAGCATGTAACTGACAAGATGTAGATTTATCAGATAAAAAATAGAAAAAGACAATGTATTTGAGTGTTATTTGATTATCAATTATGTCTTAGAGTCGTTTGAAGAAGAAGACAAGGATCAATAATAAACTTCTTAAAAAAGATGCAAAGCCAAAGAGTATAAAAGATATTGCTTGTGCGTGTTTACTCACAAAACTAATTGCAGTAGTTATTTATAATAAATAGAGTATAGTGACGTAAATGAAACTATGCCACGTTCTACGTTCTTAATTAAGAATTTTTTTCATAAAATGATCATAAATATGTCAGTTGTTAAGAATCTCATAATGACATCTTTTTCATGGTATATTAGTTAATTGACACAAAACTGGATAATAAAGTCATTTTTTCATTTCCTAGAAAAAGAGATTCTTGAAAACTTGAATATGTCATTCAAGATAAAATGATACAATCAGAAATTATTATTTATTAAATATGACTCTACGTCATACAGTTTAATACTTCTTAATAATTCTGGTTAATTTAGATGAGAAATTTTTGAATTATGACAATTATTCAATTCATCTTGATTGATATTTGACAAGTGAAAACTGATATATTGCTTGATCAATCATTCTACTTTACTTTGATCTTCTTTCATACACTTTCTCTTATTTTATTTTATC